GGGTCCAGCAGTTAGGTCCATGGCTCATAAGCCGGAACGAGCGACTAAACAAGCTGATATTGGTCCAAAGAAATGGCTCTTATGTGAGGTACCCATTTTTCCTTCCAACGCCATTCATTTACCAGCAAGTTGCGTTAACGAGCGATTGCCATGGGTGGGCAGTGGAATGATGCCCTCCCATTTCCAAGCAAGCGGGGAAAACATCTAATTGCGAACCGAGTAGGTGGGTAGGTAGGTGTGATTTGATTTATCCCCAGGGGGAGGGAAAGAAATTATCATATCACTCTTCGACATATCGCACGTTCAGGTTGTAATGCGGTGTAGATGGAGGTTCTGATATTCGATGGTTTGCAGTGAGGCAAATGCGTAGAGAAGGAGATAGCCAAAGGCAACGAAGAGCCACAGGGCGGCCATGTCTCTGTCTCTCTCTCCTCTTGCAGTATGTCAATTTAGATTAGAATATCTAGTTTCAATAGTTGGGTGGTCCAGTATTTGTCTTTTTTTTTTTTTTTTTACTATTTATAGACCAAGCGGATCCACGGTGGGGGGGGGAGGGAACTAATTGATGAGATAGATTGAAGTATAAGGTAGGCAGATAGTAAGTAGCAAGATGTTGAAACAGGCGAAGTGGAAACGACGATTCTCTTAACTTAAATAATAACTACCTCACATTGGGAACACATGGCGATTTGATTTAAATGAAAGGGCAGAGATTTCTCCGGCTTAGTCTATGTGCGTCCCTGATCGGGTCGCCAGGGCAGGAATCTTTGGTGGAACGAATCCCTGCCAGAGAAACCAGCGGGGAGATGAACGAAAACGAAGCGGGGTTTGGGGGATATTGAGAAGGATGGAAGACTCGTTAAGCCAATCGGAACACTGGGTAGGGTTTCTTTTTTTCTTTTTTCTTTTTTTTTTCTTGCCCTAATTACCATCGCTCTGCAGCTGACGCGATGGTGGCTGATTGATATATCTATCTCTAACCATCAGTATGGGCGATCTCCAGGGTTCTTCAGCCAGAATGGGTTGGCGTGACTGGTGGATATATGGAGATGTCGGGTTGTTTCTGTTGATCGATATTTCCATCTTGTCGATATTTTCTTTCTCTTCTCTTCTTGAGAAAGACCTACTAGTATAATCCATATATGATCGGACTCATGAGACCCGTCCATAGAATCTGGCGGTGAAAATCCTCAGATGCGGTGAATATGTGCCACTATCGCATGCACCTTCACCTCCACTCCAGGTCGCCTGGTCAGAATTTTGATTAAATCGTCTTCTATCATGTCACATTGATACCACTGGCGAAGTTTTGACTTTTGGGGGTGGTGGGTTTGATTAATAGGAATGGACCCGTACTGGGGGACGTGGTCGACAATGCATCTATCACGAGATACATCCCACCATGTATAAGATATGTCCTTATACCACGATGATGATCACGCGGGCATCTCTCTTCTACCATTTCTTTCAGATGAAAGCAGAATCAATCCCCCACGGGATCCCACCAACAAACCCAGAGAAGGGTCCTTCTCATTGGCCCTACCCCTCCGTGGGACCCGAAGTTCAGTGTCGCAACATGTTTCATTATTGGGTCTTCGCCGTGGTATCATATAGTAATCAAGATACTGATACCTTCTCTTCAATAGCAGGACAAAAGTCAGGTAATCATAGAAAGTGTAATATGGGAGGTAACGGTGTAATAATGGAAGAGAAGAAAGAAAAAAAAAAGAAAGAAAGAAAGAAACCACCTTTCCTGCATTATCCCCCCCCCCCCCCAATCCTCATCTCAGTCAGTGCATATACGCCGCCCCCGCGATCGTGTCTTCTTGCAACAATCCCAGTCCGCACCGAAAATCCCGACCTATTACCCTCCTTCCTTCTCTCCAGAGAGACTTTGAGCAGCGAAACTCTAGTGGTGGTGGTGGCGTAAACGCCCCAACATTCCCATCATTACAGACCTTACATTCTTCTTCCTCTTGTCCGCTCCAAGCAAAAAGATAAAAGAAAGACTTACAAGAAAAGAAACGGAAAAAAAAAAAGACTAAATGATAATGGGCGAAGAATCACTATTGACGACGGCTCTTCGACCCGATCAACACCACAGCAATAAATTCTATCAAGCTCAAGCACGACAAGGCTCTCCCTCCCGCCACGCATCCAGCGAGACCAATTCCTGGTCCATAAAGAGACTATTGAGTCGCCACGTGAGTCGCCGGTATCGTGTTCTAGAGCGAGAGCCCAACCGACTTCGGAAACGCTTTACCCAATAATCCTGGCATGACCCGGTCGCCGTCATCCTGAGCTATCGGGGATATCCCAGTCTGGGTCTGTATACCAAGCAAACTTGTTGGAAGTGTTGAATGGGAATCCTTGCCCAAGTCAACAACGGACCGCCACGTGTGGACATGTCCGATCTTCGGCTGTCAGGGAACTTTGTATTTGTTTCTGATTGGGGGGTATCTCTGGTATTTCTTTATCGATAATGATAATTCAGTCTTGTCAGGTCGTTACTACATATTGGTTTCTTTTTTTTTTTTTCAAGTTCTGCAAAGTGTCTCCCTATTATGGTTATGTTTTTTTGTATGTGTGTCTTTTCGAGGGGAGTTGGTGTTCTCCCTTTCGAGAAGAAGGGCTGGTCGGTATAGTCGAATTGCTCTGTATTCAAGCTTGCTCTTGAAGAAATGGCCTCCGTAGGATAAGAGTGTACATGTATATGATTTAGTGGCAAATCCGTTAGATACTAGTTCCTCCATTCTGGAAGAGATAAAGAGGCGATTGGCAGCGATTTAGAATACATCCAGACTACACATACTTGACAGTCTACTGCATCAAACATTGCCAACGCAAATCAACGTGGGACCCTACACTGTCCATTACTAGATGCTAGTCTGCTGTGAAAGTCCCGGTTCCAAAGTACCCGGAGGCTTCGACATCTGGACGTCTGGAGTTATGTCGGGATCCGTTGCCAATAAGTTGTCGCTTATATCGCTAACATCCCAGTCGAGTGGCAATCTATATGCTGCTAACTAATGATTTGTGCATGTAGCTTGTGATAGGTGGCTCACAAAACATGCATACCGTGGATGTCGCTGGTTGACATCCGATGGAATGGCTGCATTGGCGATACAAGACGTGGCATTCCAGTCAACTTAGGGAACCTGCAAGGCTAGGCTGGGGGGAAAGATCTATAGGAAAATCAATATTAATGGCCTGTGGGATGGGGAATTCATGCCAGAACGGGAAAGGGACTTGCGGCTTAGGCTGGGAGCTAGATACTCCGGGGTTAGTCAATAGTTACAAGGTTGTAATCATATAGTTAATAATCATTTTGGTAAATGATGCGCAACGTATATGGGGACAACATTGCGGTAAGATCAGATGTACCTTAATTTATTCCCCATTTTTAACCTATACTTGCATGTATTTTCTAAATTTTATCTTCTGGAGTAGTGATGATGCTCCCCGAGACGTGGGGATAGAGGATTTGCCTATCGTGATTTTTATATATATATATACTATAACAACAACACGAAACTTACAAACATGACTATAAAGATAAAACCCAGAGGAGTGAGAACATGAAACCCTTTCCAACTCCGCTAATTATCAGGCCGATCTTCAACCCTCCAGCAATGGTGCTACAAGAGTATGAATTATTCTCCAAGAATGAGGAGAAAGGGGGGTTACTACCGTGCATAGATGTTGGACAAGTCCAGAGGGGGGTTTAGTCTTGATGCATAGAGGCAACAACCCAATAATAACAGGTAGGGGTAATAATGATAATAATAATAATAAAAAATAAAATGGCTATTTCCATGTACCAAGTGGAGAATCTGGCTATCTAGAATAGGATATGATTGATTCTACACGAGTAATCAATAATAATAATAACAATAACAATAATACTACCTAATTAGTAATGGCTAAACCAAAATTCTCGATTATTATTGTCCCAAACTCGGACGGATGTCTCATGCAATGTATCAGCCCCATGTAAGGTTGAGATCTGGCCGGGCCTTTTAGGTAATTAGATGCAGGAACAGATCAACTATCATATGTTGTGAGCGAAATTGGGTGGTAGCCAGGAATCAGGAACATCGGCATCTAAATCTGGTCCAAGGGGCTAGTTATTAAGTACCTACTCAGGACAATCTGATTGAAGAGAATCTGATACCATCTCATGTCAGACAGCCTGAGGCCCAAGACCAGAGATATACTACTGGGTAGCTGGCCGCCGCCTAATCTCGCCAGAAGGCCCACCCGCACTTGATGGTGACCTCTAATCACTTCCTAATTTGGTGGTATCTCTGTTTTCTTGGCGTTGTACGGTCTTGTGTGTTTGGTACACTGACGTATCAACCAATGGTCGTTGGCAGAATGGAAGTAGTGCGGGATTACTAATCACGAGGATCAGTGTGTCTCCACTGTAGCTTCGCTTATGTTTTACTGCCCTATGATGGATTCTTTATGGTCTGGTTCCTCTATTCCCTCGTAACAATTTTCCACATACCTGCCTCTACAAGGCATTGAATCCCACGCTTATGCATTTCACTTATACAAATCAATGTCGACAGGATACATTCCCTTATACTTTCTCGCTCTCTCCCCTTCTCCCTCTCCCCCTCTCCTCCTCTTTTTCTATCCCGTTTTCATATTCTTCATCTATTAAAACTTCATACTACGTCGCTCTCTTTCCCTTTCCCTCACTATCATTACATGTTTACCTTCTGATCTGTCCTATGCGGCGCAAGTTATCTATTCACCCTCTGATGGCTGGTCAACTGTGTACCTGATTACCATAATTTGATGAAGTTCTCGCTAACAAAGCCAGCTTGGTGCAACAGACATTGGAAGTATACCTGCCGGAGATGAACCTTGCCACGAGGTCCGGAGGAGATCCAGTCGAATCATGGGGCTGGCAATCCTTTTGTCTCCTCGAAAAAAAGAGAATGACGCCAATTACACCCTTATAAATGCAGTTAGGGCAGCTTGATTCTCAAGCTGGCTTGGTGTAACGTATTGGTAGCATACCTGTCGGGGTAAACTTCTCCACGAGCCCGGGGGAGATCCAGGTTCGAATCCTGGAGTCGGCAATCTTTTTTGTCTCTGTCTCCTTGAGAAATGACATCAACTACACGTCAATCTTGTACTTCATAAATCGAAGTTGGGGCAGAATTCTCAACTGGCTTGGTGCAACGTATTGGTAGCATACCCGCTGGGGCAAACCTATCCACGAGGCCCGGGGGAGATCCAGGTTCGAATCCTGGAGCCGGTTCCTTTTTTTGCTCCGTGTGGAAAGAGAATGACCTCAGCTATACGTCAAGGCCGCCATTTAAACTAACGCAATGACGTTTCACCGGAATAGTCGAATAATGTGACATGATGTTGGAGAAGGAGGGAGAAAAGTTTCTATCGAGCCCGGTATATTAACTAGGTAGTCCGTGGATCTCAGACAATGGCCCTCAAGAAGCGGAAAAACAGACAGACCTCTTTTGATTGCAGGGCTTTTGCTGGGAGGAATCAACGTTATATATACATCGCAATCGTAACCCGGCGGCTGCCAATTCAACGGCATTGCGCTAAGTTACTAGCAACTAGGAATCTTTTATGCTTGGTATTTTATAGCTTTTTAGTCGATAATTAATATCTTTGATCATTCCAAAGTATTAGATGACATATCTTTAGAGGCATATGCCGCTAGGCACAGTGACAGAAGCGGGAAGTAATTCGTGAGCAAACTACTAGGTTTATTAAGGTTGCAATACGAAATATTAATATATCGAGGACTCCTCGAGATACCCGACTATTATTTTACTTGCAGTAGTTCAGTTTATTTTTATTGTTTTCGAAATCATACAGTACCGTATGTGGTAATATATGTGCGAATAAATAGTACCTAAGTAGGCAGGCCAAGGAAAAATGTTTCAGGTGTTGCATGGATATCAACAAATGAAGTAGAAAGTAGAGATCAAGAACACTTCTTGCCATGATTGATCAGCTCTGATCCTCAATTAATTTTCCGACCAGACAGACAAAAGCAAATCGTGGGACTTGACGTGTCGAGAGGTATTCCTGCAGCGGGTACAGCCGGGGTCTAAATGTACCTTCTGCAGTCCTTGATATGATACGCAGAAAGTGTTCATTCCTGCCCATTCAAAGCTGTTTCATTATTACATATTGGTGGGGGTTCTTTCTTACCTGGGTGCTCCTGGCATACAACGTATCATACCTACAAAATATAACCGGAAACCAGTGGACGTCTAGATTATCTAGGTGGAACTGATTTAATGATGGCTAAATTACAGCGATAGAGAGTTATTTTGGTGGGGAGATTCCAATCGTGGCGGTCACACTAATATTATTAGCTTCGCTTACGTATGGTTGAAGGGGAGACGGTGATACCGATTTGATACACGATGAACTACAGAGAGATACATTAATATCGGACAGATGTACAATAATATTGGAATTGCTTTCCGAATGTAAGGATAAGAACACAATCATATTGTTACAATAGAATCACCGAAGACACCCGATAAGCGCTTCCCTTCAAGTAATTATGCTCGACAGCTTCCTCATTATAACTGCCTTATCATCATCAATCTTATTACTATTATTATTACTATTGATTGTCAAGAAGGTGAAAGAGTTGTAGTACCTACTAAGCGATACAAAGGTGTCATTGTAACGGTCAAGTCTCCATTGTTACTTACTGATGCCGCCTGCTAAGTGGGGCCTCGTAATCCCTTTCAAACCTCCAGAATTCACATGGAGCGCCTTGAGTGTCGATCATGACGAATGATAACCGCAGGATGGTATTATTATATTATCATTCGGCACAGGCCTGGACGCCTTTGGTCCATCAACCATCTGCACGGGTGGATATATGCTGGGTCCAGTCATTTACAGACAGCAGCCACCTACGTAGCGACATCGTTGGAGGGGAAATTCGACGGAGTAGTTGCGAGGAACAACCATATGCGAAATCCCCCCTCAGGAATCGGGTTCCGGTAGTAATGTGCTTCGTATCTGTACTCTGTCTCCTCGTCGGATATTGCATGCAAGTGTTGACCGAGCAGCTTCCTTGCAGATTTAATCTCCTTGTCGCGGGGAAAAGGTTTGGAATAATTGAAAAAGTCCACGATGTCTGGTCATCCACACACAAACACACACACACACACACACATTATTATTAGGTATTACCCGGCCCGCGGATAGTTTAATATACCCTAGGTATCTCAAAGCACGTCGTGAATGATTTGGATGGACCTGATGACCTACTTATCAGAGTTAGACCGTACTCGTCATGGTTCCTTCGTCTGAGATTGGATGAGCCAATGTTCGGGTACAAGATGGGTTCGAACATCGAAGGTTCGGCGAGTAAGAATCAATAGCAGGGAAATAACATTATTATTGGGGAAGACGGAAGGTGGTACCAAACGGTAACGATCATGTATGAGATGGGGGGACTCCACTGACGGTTTGTTTCTAAGAATGGAGAGTGGAGTGCGGCACATGAATGACGGCATGCTAGTGGATGGTCTCTAAGGCAGGTACCAATGATGGGTCTTTCTTGTTGGTAACAATGTGTTGGGCTTCAATCTGGCAGTCTTGTGGACTTCCCCTTCTCCACACCTGAAGAGATTTTTTTTTTGGCCCTTTCTTCTGTCTCTGATCACCTGGTGGATGTTATTGCTGCATGATCACCTACAGTTAAGAGTAGAGGTACAGGTAAGTAGGTAGGTACTTTGCAGATGAACGCTCCCTGCAGTACAAGTTTATTACAGCTTCTGTTGGATGAGGAAAATAATTAAATCACTTAAGACATCTCTAGATATAAGTCAAAAGAAAATAAAAATAAAAATAAATCATCTTAACAAAAATAATAATAAAAAAGATAAATATAAATCAATAAAGATAAAGAGAGGAAAATAATAATAAATAAAGGAATATGAGATCAAGGAACGGGAAGATGCAGGAATGGAAATTCTGGACCGACCTGTGGATGGGAAAAAAAGGAATAATCAATAAAAAATACCCCAATAAATAATAATTATTCCCTATTTCTTGGTTCAAGTGGTTCCCATCCAATGTCTCTTGTGACAGCAGACGGCGAAGGAAGAGGGAGGGACGGTGTGTAACCAGCAGACCAAACCCTTTTGTTTGTCTCGGCCCTCTCTCCCTCACTCACCACTAAGTCAACTAAACCCACACTAGTCGCAGTCCCTACTCAAGGGAGGCCGTTTTTTCACTTCCCTCTAGACCTGACTGTTTCGGGCATTGGGCTTGGTCCATCACCCTCTTCCTCTTCTTCTTTTTATTTTTTTCACACGGTGACCAACACTCACTTCCTTCATCCGCGTCCTTCTTTTTCCCTCCTCTCTCCCTTTCTTTCCCTCCTCCCTTCTCCCCCCTCCCTTTGTTGAGAGAGATAGATACCTTCATTTTTGCCACTCATCCCCATGTGGCGTGGCTTCGTCTCACTACCCTTCCTACACCAACGACTAGTCCGTCTTCGACTTTCTTACCCGTTCGTTCTAAACCAATAACCCTACTTCCAACCTTCCAACCCCCGGTCCTCATCCTAGCTTCTGGGGGAATCCTTACTGTACACTCTGGATTTCTCTCCCTCATACTTTCCCTCCACCTTGGATGTCTCGCTGTTTCTCCTGGGACGGACCACAAATACACACCAACTTTGATTTTAACCTTTCTCCACCGTGAATCTCATACTTGTTTATCTCATCTACCCTGTGGTCGCGTGTTTTCCCTTGCGCCCTCATTCCCCATGAGTCCAGTCGTCGGGCCCGAGTCCGCCGACGAAAGCTCTATACACATTTGACTGGCGGGTGAGACCACCGTGACCCCTCGTCATGGCGATATGGCCGTTTAGTCGGAAAAGTAAGCGGCATACCATTCAGTTGGATGCAGCTGCTGCGGAGGAGCTTCATCTGTCGCAGGAGTCTCGTCACAGCTTTGATGGTTCCAAACTGGGTCATATACCTTCGCGCAAGCAATCGAAACGTCAAAAGAACCGACACTCGCAACCTGTCGAAGGCTACCCAAGCCCTTACCAAGATCCTGCCTTCCCCTCCAAACCGACCCAATACCCTCTACCCTCGTCGCATACCGAGCAAGTGCATTCCATAAAAGGCGTGCGGGCGCAGACCTCTAGGTTAGGACATCATGCAGACGGTTACACTTCTTATTCGACGGTCTGTCGAGACCAACCTCCAGTAGTCCGGTCACCGTCCCTGTTAAAGGCCCGGCAGAATACCACTGGTCCGGCTGTGCTGAAGAAAAAGCTGAGTAAACGGAAGGCATACGAGATTGCAAGGGAACGAGAAATCCGGTTGATGGCCTCGTCTCCGATTGATATTCCTCGCCGTGCCACTACACCGCTACCGGCCGATGCCCGACACCGACGTTCAGATCGACACGTCTCAGAGCTCAGTCTTTCCATTCGTGACTCCGCCACCTCGTCCTTGTCTGAATTCTCCGAAACGTACAAATTCAAAGTTAACGGTTTTGCTGCCTGGACTCCTCGCCCCGTCATTCGATATGTCGAGGCCCCACCTCGGGCCCCTTCTGCACGAAGTCAAAAAACACCCGATGACTCGAGCCGACGAGACAAGACACCCAGAGTGTCTGCCTCGGAGGAAAATTTCCACCCAAGAAAGCGAGTAGATGCATTGGCTGATGATCTTGATGCTGGCGGGTTAAGAGAACTTCTTGAAAGGGATCGCCGACGGAGAGAAAGAAAGCAGATCGAAGACCAAGAAAAATTACAACGCAAGCTGCAATGTGCGGCTGAGCGACAGTCAGAAGGAGGTCTTGACCAAGAACTCCCCGAGCGCGACGCTGGGCAACAGACTCTACCTGAAGACGAATCTAATCCCCAAGAGGCTGAGAATCGCATGGAAATTGAGCGCCCAACTGATAATATTTCACCGGTCGATGAGACTGATGAATTTCCTACTGATGCTCCTAGTTCATGGCTACGAGCCGGCTCTAAAGAGGCCGAACGAACTGGCCTCGAGTCTATGGAAAGCGTCCACGTCATCGGTAATATTGATGACAGCTCTGTTAAAGAGCGCAAGCTTGGCATGCGCAGTAGCTTCGCTCCTTCCCAAGAGATGGGCATGTCCACGTTGTCGCAGTCTCGTTCTCCGTCTAGACATGGGCTTCATAGCCCCTCATCTTCGCAAGTCTATGGAATGGGCCGGGAATCCACCTCTGATCTTTCCCGAACGGTTGACTCTGAGCGACGCATGT